GTCTTTTCAACACTAAGCATATTCGTGCGCTCCCCAGTCTTCGATTCTTCGAATGAACTTCGGTCCAGTTTCCTTTTTTCAAGGTCCGAACATCCGATTTTTAGAACAAAATACAAAACATATGGAAACTCAGGTTGAACTTGTAGATGCGATTACATCGTGTGAGAGAGTATGCAACCATATATGTAGAAACGTCCAGGAAGTTCGCTCTAACGCAGTCTTCCCTGTCTAACTACCTGGCATATCTGATTCGACTGAGCAGTCAATCCAATGTTTTTGCGACCAACATGACCTAGTCAGGTTGTTTTTCCAAAACTGGATCAGAAATGTACTGGCTTGTCTTTTTTATTCTTAGTACTGACTTCTTGTCTCTATACCTGTAAGAAACCCGGAAATGTTCATCGACCTTTATCATCCAGAAAATAAAGTCCATACTATCTAAAAAGAGAATTTTCGAAGGTAGGATCAACGGCAGGTATGAAAACGCAGTTCGGGGATAAAAATGTTCCGCCTTGTCCAAGCGGAGGTCATCATATTGAGGGATTCTGATCCGTTAAATTACTTAAATCTAAGCCGCAATCAGACGCCCGATAAACTTCAATGTCAGAAGTTGAAGAAAAATACCTAGCATCACATTTACGCGCAACAAGCAGTGGATTTATCAGATTCATGCGATGGAAATCCACACAAAACTTGAACATAGCTGGCGTTCTCGACTTCCAACTTCTCAGAGAACAAGTTGAGAGAAGTGCACTCACAAAAGGCCAAATCAACTTTCCTGAAGGAATTTCCGCATACTTCTTCCCTCAGCCAGCTTATTGTGGAGGGGAGGGGAAGAAACTAAGCTGTTACACTCGCTGGTGTGCCGGATCATATAGATGACAAAGCTTCAGGCAACGGAACAGAAGCCAGACGTGATTCAAGAAGCAGATTATGGTGTAGTTGTAATTCGAGCGGATGAGGTGATGAATATAGTGTAGACGTTCTGATTTCATTCAAGAATAGCACTGCTTATAGTCATGCTTTTTTTATAAAGTCTGGTAGCACAAAAATCGTCTTGGTGTGAGGGTAACCTTATCGTAAGGAAAATAGCGTTTGTCACAAAATGGATGTTTGCTTCGCTTTATTTTGTGCGGTCTAACGTTCACTAAAGTGAAGTTACTTATCCTTCCAAAGGCCTACGTACATGCATACCCAGATTGTCATGCTTATCCCACCAGCTTAGGATGAAATATAACAACTTGGTATGAAGCTTTTAATGCTATTTCGCTCAACACTGGTGGTTAATAACGCTTTAAAAATCTATTTTACCCGCTGTGAATCTATCAGCGAAGGCGATGTAAACCCATAAGTTCCTGGAAGTTTAACGAAAATAAAGTCAGTGTGGCGGAAAAGTAAAAAACCTACTGACAGGGCGGTATTGATTGTCATCCCCTTGTTAGAACCGACATACTGTTCATTTCCGATAATATGTTCTATGTTGACGGAAGCCATTGTCCAAGGGCAGTCAGTATAAGGTTTTTCGTTTACTCCATTATAAAAATTGGAGAAATGACAAACGGGTGTGGTCCTTGCGTGAAGGTATTTTATAATATGACTCTACCGCCGCATCATCCGAGAGTATGGACATCTGGAAGCAGTAGACTTTGTGAAAAGTTCACTCTGCAAGCTCCCTCGGTAGAACATCTTACGGCAAAGATGACCCCTAGATTCGGGCGTTAATTAACGTAGTGCATTTGTGTAGAACAATTACTCACACAAAAAGTTGGCAATAACAGAAAACTTCGTTGATTCTCTTGTTCAGCGATGGTTCTGACGGTTCCGACATCATGTTTCAGCTAGAACGCTAATGAAGACATCGACGTGTCTTCTTTCACTGACACTAATCAAAGTTGACGAAGTGAGTGCACAAAAGTTCCCGTCAAGCTCATACGAACTCGAAGGGTGGTTGCGCGCATTTTTGAGGACGATCCACCAGTACAGAGATCCGGTACATCCATTAGCGACATTTGGTATAAAAAATTTTTGGGTTAACACTGCCGACACATTCCCCACGGTCACATTAGCTCCGATACTTCAGAGTCACCTCCGACGTTCAGAAGCAACAAACATCTGCGAAGTAGAACCGATATCAAAGACTGAATACAGTAAGCGTAGCTCGCTAGAACTGTCGTCGTGACCACCAAGACGAAACGTCACTGAAGAAGACCTACTCTATAAAATCCTCGCTGTAAGCACTTTCTAGAATGCAGTAAACAGAGATTTCTTGAAACTGGGTAAAGACTTGTCTCCGAAAGGTTGAACGGTGTCAAGAATCATAAGAACATGTGACTGACTTCCACGACAGCAGGAAGCCTAGCGCCACTGGTTGCACTAGTGGACGATGTGACATGTATATTTTACATGACTCCCGTTTCGAAAATGTTTTTATCACTCCGCTACCTTTAAGCAGGCTTCGTGTGAAGTCATAGGGTGACAACTGTAGACGTGGATGTGCGCTTCATTAACCGAGAATGGCATATACGAAGTTATTTTTCACACGATACCGGCGGGACTGCATTCGCTGTCATAGTTCTTCCTGTGTAAACAGTTTACAGTTAACTGTATGGATGACGACACAAAGTTTGAAGGTTACCGGAGGTGAACAATCATGATGACTAAGAAGATCGGCCGTGTTTCTTGCCCAGGACCACCGCATAGCACCCAACCAATCAATCCCATAACACCGTTGTTTGGGTTCGGTCAGGAATACGAGAGTGGTCCACAAGCGCGTGCTAAGTCGGCCGTGATGAGAGTGAAATGACTATAGTAGGGGAACTTACTCCTCTATGGAAAGAGGGATGACGATTGTCAACAGAAAACAAACCGCTCCAGATCGGAAAACTCATTTTTACTGGGCTGGCATATATTACTAAGATGCACATCAGTCGATGGCCTGGATGGGCAAAAATGGGAGTAGGATTTCATCAACCAAATGACAGTACAAAGACAGTAGTGCAAGACGCCGAGTTACAGTTCACATGTGAGATCCAACATCAATAAGCCGACAAAGTCATAAAGTAAGTGGTAAGATAATCACATGTTTGGTGACGTAAACCGGAAATACAGCCGTCGCTTTCTCCACAATAGCTATAATCATAGGCAAATATTCGCTCCATTATACAGGAACAACAGAATTTGTAAACCCAACCCACTAGGGAAGGGTTATGAGAAACAACGAGTACGCAATGGCCGCGGATGGGAAAACGCCCAGCAACAATTCACAATACTCGGGCGTTTATTTCATCCTTACCTAATCGCCTCAAAAACAGTGATCGCTTCTTCTCAAGAAAAGAATAACGAGTGGGTGGTTATGAAATCGATGTTCGCGATAAAGTTCTCTGTACTACAAAACTGCGATCACCTGGACCACCGGCAAACTCTTCAGGTGGCGAGTTCGTCCACCATACTTGTGCGAGGTGTGATACAATTCTTGGCGTCCAATTCGTGGAATTAGCGACCCGGTGCCGTGAACATTGCCAGCAGTGTACCCAAAATATGATTCGCGCAGTTGACCAGTAGGTCTCATTGACCATTAAAACGCATACTGTAAAACCACACCGTTGTTTCTAACGACCAACTGTGGTGCATTATGCTTGTTAACACTGCAACGGAGATATCATACGGCCTTTGGTCAATATCGGATCGCTAAGACGGACGTATCTAGGACGTAACTAGATGCGATAAATGGGGCGAGGCTTTCACCATTCGAACCTGATAAGTCTCTTTATGCTAACGGAATGCCAATGAATGCGTAATTCCTACAAAAAACCCACGCGAGCAGATTCGTCAATGAAAACCTACTTGAACACTTTATGCTCTGGAAAAAAAATTGATCAAAAACTTCTGGCGCCCATTGTCAATTGCCGTCAACCTACACGGAACACAAAGACGAATGATCTTAAGGATTGGGGATCTGACAGTCACGGACCACTCTCACGCTGAAAAGTACCCGCATAAATGAACCGCTACATACTAAGTCCTCGAAGGAGCTAGTAAACCATTGCAAGTACACCTGCCTACACCCGACAATCGGCCCTTGACGTACATACAGATGCTATCACCTTCCGAGAATCTGTTTCTTCTTTTACATAGGTAAACGAAAGAGGGGAGAGAGAATGTAGCCACAACGTACACTTCTCAACGGAGCAAAATGAAATTAATCTTTTTTGGAGTTGGACACTAATGTACCATTTAGTATAGTTACGGGAGATGCAACTGTACAACGGCTGAGGGGACGATAACCAAGGTGCTAAAATGTCTTTCCCGATCCGATCCTATCCTTAAGTTTCATCTGAAATCTCGTCCTGTAAGTGCAAACACAAACTACGCTCAAAAGCCGAGAAGCGCTGCTTCAGTGCTTCCCAAACCTTCTCACATACGCTTGATGAAAAAACTATGGACAGCTTCATCCTTTTTGTGGCAAGCAGCGGCTTTGTGCACCACATTCCGTTGACGAATATCATGAATGAGAGACTGAGTTGTCCAAAATTAATACTATTATAATTTACAAATGAAACTCTGATCGGAAAATTCAAGGGTTAGGCTTATCTGATGAGCCCCAAACAAAATTAGGTTTTCCACAAGATGTCATTTCATAGAAAATTACTTGCTATCTAGGCGTAGATACCATATTGCTTGGATAAAATAGAAATTCCGTAATATCGGACCACAGTAAGCTGAATAGAAGCCACACTATATTTGAATAAACAGGAAGATCCCAAGCAAAACGTAGTGTTTGGGGAGCTAGTGTTCCTCACCCCTCAGTAGGTTGATAGAATCAAGGACTACTTTCCAAGAAGCCCAAAACCCTAATTCTATTCTGCTGTTCTCCCTGAAACGAAAAGTCTAGTATCCCGTCAACTACGGTGAAAGATTCTTGGTAGCTAATTACTATGCCGAAGTGCGTTAATCCAGCGAACCATTACAACCAGACTGGACAGAATAAAAACCGAGATGGGTTTAAACTTTATCATCCAAAAAGTTAACGAGACTAAGGGGAAAATCAAAGAAAACCAGTTAATATAGGGGAAAAACCTTTGTACAGTTTGTGCATAATTCTGTTACTGAACAATGACAATGAAAGGAAAAGCTGGCAGTGGCGCCAACGAAAGAGGAGACTAGCTACTCTCGATTGAGTTCCGCTGACGCGTCGCGTTCAAACTAGTATGAACAGCGGTCAGCAGCTGACCAAGCATTTGGCGCTGTTGTCTCAAGTGGGGAGCATGCGCTGGCCAACGACACACTGGGCAGTCCAATGCTCCTGTATCCAACCAGCGTCGGATACATGCTTCGTGGAAACCATGTCCACAGGGCAGTGCACCAAGTCGAACGTGAAGGCGAAATTTCCGCCAACAGATCACGCAAGATTCACACGGAATGACCCAAGGAGGCCAGTTGGTACACAGGTTTGCAGGAGTGACATCTGCATCTTCCACCCCATCAGCAACCCTATCTACTTCGCTGCTCTCAGAGGCTGTTGAGGTGTGTGACTGGCGATCTGGTCTCAGAGGTAGACGAGGTCTACGAAGGCGAGGGCGCCTGTAGACGAAGGAGCGTTGGTGCGCGGTATTCTCGTGCTCATCCGCTTCGTCCTCAGCTTCATACTCTGCATCCAAACCGAAAATTAAGCGGGTGTTTTCTTCTGATGTGCTCTCTTGAAATGGGTTATTCAGTTCGCTTCGCAAAACACTATCTGCTTTACACAGTCGTACATTGGGTAGGTTGGTAGAGGGTAAAGAAGTTTCGTCGGTCGTGACCGAAAAATGGGATGACTTTGAACACTGCCAGGTGTAAATGTGTGCCGGTGCAGCCAATGGCACAAATGTCGTCCGGCCCGCGTCATCTGTGTCAACCAGTTCCGGAGTGACCGGAGGACCGATAAGCGAATGTACCACACTATCCTCGCTGTTAAGGAGCCTGTGAAGACGAGTGAGCTGGTTTAGAAGACGAGTCTGATCCAGACCATCCCCTCTATGGACACGTGTGTTTGACAGCAGTCTCGAGCGAACATTCCGTCTATCACCAGTGATGGCCAAATCAGCATCCGTAGTCGCACTGCTAGAAGCACTGGAGCTCGTCGGCTCTGTTTGACCTTCAACGTCCGAAGCAGCCAGTAACAAACGACTCAGCTCATTTAAGAATTCATGAGGAGATGTCTCACGTATGCGATGAAGTAGACGGACTGAGGCCGAGCGACGGTGACCCCTAACACCAGAGGCTTCTGCTGAACCCGACCAGACAATCAGATAAACATGAGCCACNTGACCCCCAACACCAGAGGCTTCGGCTGAACCCGACCAGACAATCAGATAAACATGAGCCACTAAACCGCTCAGGAAAGTGCAGAAAATCACGGTCAAGAGAGCCAATCGGAATAACGTCACATGTCCCGCGGCAATAGAAAGTCGGAGTAGAATGATAAGCGAAGAGGTGACCAAACGGCGCAGCAACCACAACGATGAATTCACAACGAATGCCGCTTGAGGAAGGCTGAGCAAGTTGATGAGAGGTAAGACGGCAATTAAGAGTAAGAAGTTTGATGATATAAAATCCATAAAGCTGTTTTGTACGCAAGCAATAAGCCGTTTCCAAAGCACAGTTCGCTGAACCGAAGGAGTTGGGGCAGTCGATTCATCAAGGTATTCCATTTGTTCTTCACGTACCTGTGGTACCACATGGGACGTCCATCCTCGGCGAGCTAGCCGAACTATGGACTGTGCCATGCGTAGTCGACCAGTGGCCTGGGTACTAGGCAATGGGCTCGACACACCCATAGAGTAGCGTGCCAAACATGCCAACCATTTACCTGCTTCAACAGCAGAGTTTAAAATAACCAGCAGATTAACCAAAATAGCCAGTAGAAGAAGGAAGTCGTCTGCAGAGGGATACAGAAAGCGTAATTGGAGCTCGAGATTGGAATAGCTAAGGAATTCGCCTCTTTTGAAACCAAACGGAATACAGTGACCCTCAGGTGTTAAAATGTGAAACGACGCGCTTTTCGAACAACCGAATGCATCGAGTAGTTCTATAATGGGCTCGATTGAATGGCGTTGTGTAGATCGCATACGGGTAGATTTGGGTACAGGTTTGGAGTCCGGTTTGGAGTCTGTTGAAATAGTGAGTACTGAAAATCGAACACGACCGGTATAGGGAACTGATAGAGCAGAGAGCACCATCGGTGGATATAAGTGATCCTCCCAAACCTTGGACGTCTTAAGAGGATGCTTGACTGAGGACATATTTTTCACCCAGATGACCTGAACCGGTTGTGGTCGCCGACGCAGCCATGACATCCAACTAGATCGCAATATTTTTGGCTGCTTTTCAGATCCAACCAGCTGAAACGTGAGTGGTAGGATATCATCAACGGAAGAGATGCGGTGCAACCGCTCAGAAAGCACAGAGCTGAGCCACCTGCGAATATGACGAACAACCTGGCTGGTGGGAAATGCGGATTTCGACGCATCAGTATGAACTGATTGCCTTGGATAGGGGCGGAATTGTAAAGAATCTTTGATACGATCTCCTCCTTTTGGAAGCGCAAGGACGAGGTCTGCAGCGACGAAACCACGGTCATGACAGAGGCTGAAAATATGCAGAAGGAATGGGTCTTACAATTTGAAACGAGCAAGAACAATTCAGAATAAGCTTGGATTCTCCGGGAAATCTACGAGTGAGGAACATAACCACTGCTTCGTTTGCACACTACAAGATCAAATAGTTGAAAATAATATCACTTAAAGTCTGTCACCCCCTAGTACAACGATGAAAGAAATGGGCTCAAGCGAAAAAACCTTCGTCTGGGTCTAATAAGGGTGGGAAATTATTACTATCCTATTAATACTATTACCCTAGCGGAAAGTTGTTTCAGGATGTTACTCTCAGCCTTTTACAAACGCAGGCGAGCAAACAAGGAAATGAACTAGAGTATAGGAACAAAGTATTCGGAACAACTAAGGGCTGAATTGCAGCTTCGTCGCAAAGCCTGAGTGTCTGGTCTCGCCCACTAACCAAATGAGCCATCCTTTTTACGAATTTCTTGGATGTTCTAGCGTTACCGCAACACAATCGTAAAAGACGCCGGATACCACTATGGTTGAATGGCTTTCGGCCCAGAAAAACGACCAGTATTTAACCTCAAAAGCAGCTAATCCGCATGAACTGGGTATCACAATAAACTGACCCTTTATAAGGAAAATCCCAATAGCTCTGCTGAATTTATTTTCATAACAAGAACTACAGGACTAATAGAATCTGCCATTTCGAAATAGGTGGCGTTTTATTTTGCACGAATTCAATCACATGAGACGACAATTTTCGGAACCCGAAGCGGTTCACAGCTAACAGTACCGGGTTCCAGTAGTTTAACTCGATGGGTATGACCACCTCTCAATCAGACGACACTGACATGAAGAACACGAACGTGCTGATTAACCAAGCCAACGCAAACCAAACAAAGAGTGAGGAAATAAGTAGCGAAATGGAACCACTTCGTATAGTTTTGTCAGTCACCACAAATGTAACAACCCGAAACCGACCAAACAAGTGCGGTGCACACCCTGCTCATAATCCTGGCACAACACTGAGTGAGGGCCATTCGTTCACATAAAGGAGGGCAACCAAACAGCCAAACAATTATGAGCGCAAGATGATCTGTGAGGAGTAATCAATAAACCCTCAATGAAATGCAGCAGCAACGATCAATTACATCGCTGCTTGAGTTGACATAACGAAGTGGTCCATTTAGAGGACATGTGTGGTGATCGATGATGGCGGAGTTCGACCGGTTGTCCTTCGAGTGGCTTTATTCAGCAGCCAAAAGGGTAGATGCTACCGAGCTTGACGGTCTGTCCATTGATCCCAAATAAAATTCTTTGGAGCTGCAGGTGAAGCGACAAATATAAAGAGAAGTCCACGAAAACAAGTAGGACCATTTTGTGTGGGAAGAAACACTCTGAGTTGAGCTGTATGATATGTTCTCTTCAGAACAGTTCGCAGTCATCGTTTTATTAATTTTGCGAGAATATCACGCTTGAACAGCAGTGTTAGATAGGCCAGCCACTTTGGCATCCAGTGTCGGTTCCGTTTCAGACGGTGTCACGCTATAATGCCTGATAAATTATCGCCGGGCAGTTGTTCTGTTGCAGCAGAGTTCTGTGCAACTTCGAGCCCCTCCCCAAGTTTTTACGGTTTGCTCGATGATGTAATGTCCTGATTCCGTTGGAGAGAAACAACTGAAGCTGGACTACTACTTAGTTCAGGTGAGTTTCTCGCACACCGAGCGTCGTACAGAGCCAACACCACCTCTATTAAACAGCAAGTATAGAAAAGTGAGTCTGTTTGAGAGTTCATACTCACAAATGAACAAGGTGCTCTGCATCTTTTCTGTTTTTTGATTAATAACAAGACCACATCAATATATCTTTTGTAGAGGGGTGTCGCATTAGTCTTCGCTTCACTCTTGGGTTTGCGATGGAAATATTCACTAATCTTGACCAAATGGGGTTCCCGTCGATACTCCATCAACATGTTTGTGTCAGAGGACTTGAGAATAAAAACCGACTTTTTATGTACGCATGAAGGAATGAAATATCAATATTTAAGGGTTGTTGCAAGGTTACCTGGACGGTCAAAATTCTCAAACAAGGGTACGTTCGTGAACAAGAAGTTAACGTCAGAAGAAAACATAAGACACTGCGACATGTTGTACTCTTCGTTGAGGCTACAGAACACAATTGTGCGCTCAGAAGTGCTCGGCACTCACCTTGTGGTTACTCTGGCTCATGTGAATGAGTGGCCTGAATTCAATAATGTATCAGGATTATAGGCAGGGTGTTGCTGGCATTTGTTCGTTCTTTTTCGAACTATGTTCCACTTTGCAATCGACAGTACTGCACGAAATGGTTCCATCTCGCAACCTGCTATTGTGTTATTCAACTGGATGAAGGTGACAAATAAAAAAGTTGGATTTTCATATCTGAAGAGGTCCAGAAGAGGCGCGGACAGTGAGGGCAGAGCTGCACGAACCGCCACCGCAGCAAGAAATGACCAAGGTTGATAAAAATTAAAAGAAGACTGGTAAAGAAGAAGGGAGTCCTTCAGACTTATTTCCGTTGAAGAACATTGAATACTACAGGATGGGATGATTTGCGTCAGTCCCGTGGAGGTGTTCATTAAAGTGGATTCAGAAAGTTATAAATTATTCCTCGGCTTGTTTTCTTTGTGAAGAGAATTGTCAGGAACTTCGAATACTTGAAAAGTTATCCCTAGCATTTCACGATCCACGTGGAACATTTGGCATATGCTTGGATCCGAAAATGGTAGTAATTTCATCACCAGGGATAGGCCAAAAAAGCACGCCTTTAATATTCGTCTCGAGCTCAAAAGTAGTTAGCAGTAACCGGGTCCTGTAGCGAATGGATAGAATTTAAGGAACTCTCAAACAATCACGTTACAGCCCCCTGATGAGTCTTACTCAGGTAGGACCATGTGGTGGATTGCTTTTCGCTTCAGAATTTACCACAATCTGACCCCAGAATGAAGAAGCTAGCTTTCGTTGTTCACAGTTCATATATCCACACCCCAGGTACAAACTGACTTTCATTACAGAACGTTTTTTCTCATAAGGAATGCTTTCGTAGGCGGAGACCGAATTCACACGCATTCATTGCATGCAAGTTCTGTCACGATGACAAGGATTTTCCGCGACTCTGACCTCATAATCAGTACAGACTTAGAAACGAGTCACAAGAACAAACAAACCTCATGAGTATGTCACATGAGGCACATACAATGATTTGCAGTCGATACAATCTAAGAACTGAACGAATGGATAAAGGTCACGCTTAACCCAAGTAAAAAGATAAAGCGTTCAGCTGTAGCACCCCTCCGGTGCCTAGCTGCCATGCCACCCGAAGGGAGCACGAGGGCTGGGATACTGCCAGGTTGCCCAAGCCTAGACAGGGGAAGTCGAGTGGCGGAGGTCGGATTCGAACCGCGGACCTTCAGGTTAGTAATCCGCGCTCTAACCACTTCGGCCATCTCGCCCCCTAACCCAAGTAACGTAGCTTTTTGACGTCGCTGCTTCGACAAAGACGAATTCGGTGACCCCAGCACATACACGTTTAACGGATGTTGCTCCTAATGAGATCACTTGTGTCCTTATTGACCGCAGGACCAACCAGAAGTTGCGTTGGTTAGTTCATGTACTGCGCATGCCAAACCATCATTTGCCGAAGACAGCGCTGCTTTGCGTGCCCGATTCAACGGACCTTTCTGTCAGCAGTTTCACACCTCAACCGCTAAGCCATCTCCGGCTAAATCCAGCCCCTATTCGTTCCGGTTTATCAGCTACAAACCACTAACAAGGGTACGTTGGTTCGAGCTGCTCAACTTTCCGTCAATGAGAAATGAGAAAGCACTGAAGGTATAGCCAGTCACTGGAGGCAATATCCTAATCAATTAGCTGCTGTTGGTTTATTCTGCATGGAAAAGCAGGAAACTAAACAGTTCCGCATTGAAGGTGGTAGATTCCATGCAGGAGTGCCACTGGTTGCATGATCCGGTTACGTTTACCAATGTCAGTCACTGCTATAAGAGTTGGGTTCTGGACTCACCATTTCGTGAGAAGACAGTTGTTAGCCTGTTTGAGTTAGGTGGTCAGTACTTTCATACCTCGTTGCTAGGCCATAGATTGTCGACCTCTCAGTCGGGTCTACTCAGCACGGGACTGTGAAAGTAGTTCAGCGAAGTAGACAGTTTTCTGACAAGAGGGGAGAAGATAGGCAAGACCGTCGCCTTGTAGACTTGCAGTTTAGTCCATAGCCTCAGGCGTCAGGAGTTCAAAGCCCGTTTCACGAGTAATATAAAAGCAAAAATAGGGTCTTAGCTCATGATTAACGCTCACATCAGCAGAGGGTGTGCTGTCGAGGTAGCAGCAGTCCAATATTGATGCATGGGGGAGCGTTGGGGACTAAACTTAATCCAGTTGGTGCGTAGCGAATCTTCTCCGGGCAAAACTGTGCAGTTATGCGCTCAATTCGCCATGCGTACATTTGAACAGTACACTGACATCCACAGACACTAAAATGTGGATCTTGGTTTGACGGGTCGAAACCCTTGCGCCAAAAAACGCCCAATATTGAAAGGACTTGCATCAAGCGGATAGCCAAACTGCACACTAGCGCAGTCGTTGAAGAAATTCGTATCCATGATGGCCGTAAATAGGGCCTGAAGAGAATGGGGCAAGCCTGTTCTCCACCGGCGAAGATTTCGAAATCATTTGAAGTCCATTTATTAGTTTATACCTTCATTCTTATTCTGTTACATAGGCATCGGAAGAGATTGGCGAATGTTGGAAGACAGACATATTTGATATGTCACAAGGTGTCGGGTCGGAGTCGGTTTGGAAAATCTAGAAAACGGGCATGGGGCGACCATCGATGCGCACGAAGTTTTTCTTGAGGCTGTCGTGCAGCAAACACCACACCCAGATCATCACAGAAACCATAAAATTCCCAAAAAGAGTGCTTTGATGATTCCAGGGTCAAATGTTTGCGTAGAACTCGTTCCAAGAGCCTGACCACACAACTTCGCAAGCTGTAGTTGTCAGGTATGTTTGGCTTCCTTTTCCTTTGTGGAAGGGCAGGATTAGACCACCCGTGAATTCCAGTTGAACTCCCCGCATCATCATCATCATCATCATCGTCATCATTGACAACAATGAACCAGTAATATATAGTGGTACATAAATGTCGACTTCATTTAATGGTGGGGTAATATATCCACTGGGGAAAAGATGGCTCAAGTGGTTAGAGCGCGAATTTACTGACCGCAAGGTCCGTACTTCGAACGCGACCTCTGCCTCTCGACTTTTCCCGTCTAGGCTTAGACAACCTGCCAGTATCCCAGTCCTCGTGCTTCTTTCGACTAGCATGGCAGCTAGGCACCGGAAGGGTGTTACAGCTGAACGATTTTTTTTAACGATTTTGAAAGGCTGCACAGATATTCAGAATTTCTGCAGGCAACTACTTCTGCATTAGTCTCCAGCAAACATCCTGAAGAGTTGGGTTGACCTGACAATATTCAAAGAATCCTACGATTCTTCGTGTCATCATCAAGCAGCGAATCCTTCGATCTGTTCACTTTGCCTCCTGGGAAATTAGTCCTTGATGCGGTTGGGCCAGGTCATTTCGAACATTCTTTGGTTGATGATTCTTGATCTCGCTGTCCGAATGTGTGAGATTTGACAGCAGCTAACTTCTTAGTTACCAGCTGTTTGATTTGATGGTTACTGCCGTCAACCCGACAAGGACGTCTTGAAGGTAGGTGTCTTGGCTAGCTGATTGCCATTTTATCATCTGCCCGGATTCGGTCCACGCTTCGGCGGGCAGGCTGAGTGAAGGTTATCAATGACGCATCATTTGCGTCAAACTTCTCGCGTTTATTAGTGGGATTGATATGTTCAATTTCGCTCGGACAAACAAGCGATTCGTTGTGTAGTTGATCCTCTCATCACCGGTGTGACGCACATTTCTCAAACGTTTCGCCGGCGAACGACACCCTTACTGAATGAATGAGATTGGTCACTGCATGTGTGTCCAAGTTGCAATGCGCTGCTTTTCCAGGTCAAGCCCGATGTTAGTAATGGGATGGAGCATCGTCGGAGTCAGCCACCGTTGGGAATTGCAGTCCTGATACTATGATTTCCGAGAGCGCCTTACCACAGGAGAAAGTTTCGAAGGACACGTTCAGTCAACTAACCAAGGAAGAGGATCTTGTCAACTTCCGAAAGTGATCAAAAGAGAGCGCAGGACCTGTCGTTGTGGCCTTTTGATGAACATAACGTTCAAACACATCCACTGCTCACAGTCACAGCTTCAGCCGCAGCGATGGAAAGCGTGGATTGAATTCAAGGGGTTCCAAGTTGAACATTTTCCTGGTGAGATCAGAAAGGTCGAAAAGAATACCAAGATCTCACGAAGTAGCCGTTCAAGTGAAACGTTCATCAATTTCACTCAGGACGGTGAAATAGATTTAGTATCTCATCAGTTCCACTGTATCTTGCATTACGGATAATTTGGTTGCCAGTTTGGTCCAGTAGTGTTCGATGTACCGTGGGCCCATGGTTAGCAGTCGTTTCTGTAAAACACTGGAGTTAGCACAGCCTGTTACATCACCACCTTCAAATGTCGACCTGGGAGAGATGTGAATTCCTGACCTAAACAGTCTGTGGTTCTGACTGGCCACACATCCTTGGGGTTTTCATTTGTAGTATCAGTACATCCATAGATAACTATATATATA